TCTCCCTTCTGCTTGGCCCTTCTTTCTTTGTATGTTCTGATTCTCAACACCCATCATCTACACTATTGCAATAACCCACCCTACTGATCTCCTTGTCTTCAACCACTGCTATACATCCAAAAACTACTAAGTCTGATCAAGTTTATCCCTGTCCTTCAATAGTTCCTCATCACAGACATAACGGATTCTAACTTTCCACCAAACATTTCCCAGAAAACTGCAAACTGAATCAGGCTGTTGGTTTTGTCATGTTTTTCCATATTCCCAGTAATCACATCAAAACACTAACAGTTGAAAGGATCTTCATGTGGCGGTCTTTTCTTTTCTCTAAAGTTTGTATATGCTCTTGCTTTATTATTTAAAGCTAAACTCAAATTTCACCACACAACTGAAATGGCTAATCCTGCCAGTGGGCAGATATTCTTCACCCTGACTTGCACAAGTTTTGATAAACCTATTTTAAAGATTTATTATTATTTTTTATTGGAAAGGCAGATATACAGAGAGGAGAGACAGAGAGGAAGATCTTCCGTCCGATGATTCACTCCTCAAGTGAGCACAACGGCCGACGCTATGCCGGTCCGAAGCCAGGAGCCTCTTCCGGGTCTCCCACGTGCGTACAGGTTCCCAAAGCTTTGGGCCGTCCTCAACTGCTTTCCCAGGCCACAGGCAGGGAGCTGGAAGGGAAGCGGGGCCACCGGGATAGAACCGGCACCCATATGGGATCCCGGGCGTGCAAGGTGAGGACCCCAACCACTTGCGCCACTGCGCAGGGCCCCGATAAACCTATTTTAACACTTCATGCATAACATTGCAATTTTTGTTACTTCTATATTCCTCTATACATTAATTTATTTTTAGGGAAAGAACTATGTTAGCTGTCTCAGACCCAAGGCACAAAAGAAGGCTTGATGTATAATTGTTCCTTATGAAGTGTTGAGTCAATTAACATTCTTGTTGTATCCAAAGTACTGAAGTCACAAATGAAAAATAACCCTAGGATAGTTCCCACAGAGATAACCTGGGGAATGTAAATGTTTTCCAAAACATCAAAAATATGGCACATGCTAAATAATGAGATTTCCTCTTGTGTGAGATTAATACAGAGTTCCTTTTTCCTGGGCAATTTGAAAGACGGTTTCATTGGCAGCAGCAGCCCTAAATATCTTCCTCAGTGGAACAGTAAAATGCTCAGGTGTTACTTTTTATAGATAGACCCACCTGGAAAATGTTCCAGCTATAGTCCACTTCACATACTTCACTGTTTCTTCTGGAATAATAACTATTTTTATTCATTTAGTTTGTTCTTCACTAGGTTATAAGGGCTTTCAGGTGATGAAGGGTACACATGTCTTTGTTCAGAAAAGTAACTTGCACTCAGTCAGCATGCAGGAAACACCTGACGAGTGCTTTAGAAAACACTCATTCAGGGAACAATGAAGGGCTTGGGAAATGATAGCGTTCGAAGGCGATGTTTTCCAACTTAAGCTAAAAGGTTTCATTCTGGAATACTACCTTAGGATTAAATTCTGTGGCAAGCATGTGTTGGTAAGTAGAACTGAGGACCAAACCCAAAGGAATGATAAGTCAGGTACACAAGACTGAACCATGCCCACCTCAGGAGAAAAAGAAATACAAACAGGCGAAAAGAAAGCATGCACGTGACGTAATATTCTCCACCTGCGAACAAGAGCTCTGGACTGCTTAACATGGTCTGGAAGGCTCTTTCTACCTCTTGTTCAATTTCCAAACATGATTTACTGCTTAGATCATCAATGGAGCAAAATAAAGGGTTTGGGCAGGAATTTTGTAGTTAGTATGAGAACTGAACCCCAAGATCATGGGCTTAATAGTTAACTATTGGTAGCCCAATTCATCTTCATTGCATATCATTTTCATAGGTTAAATTTCAGTAGGCAACACCACATTAATGAAAAAAATGTTGAAGACAACTGGATTTGAAAGGAAGGTCAAAAGTAGGAGAGATTAGAGATACGCAGACACACTGAAAGAGGCTATATAATGGGTCCTCAGCAAGCAGATTAGCCAGCATTTAGGACTATGCTAAGGATTTAACTTAGAGTGAAGCATTTCTGAAAGGCAGCCAAGGGGTTCCAAAGATTTCAAAGTAATCAGAAAAGTAGGGGGAAGCTGAGAAACCTGTGGACAAGAGTGCTTCAGAAGTTTTTACTTGGGTGCCATCTGCATATCTGTTCCAGATGAGCATTCTGTGTGGAGAGGTAAAAAGGCAACACTGGTTTCTGCTCCACTTAAAGCATTTGATCCAGTCCCTAAGCATTCCACAAGGATGAGGTCAAGGCTAGAACTACAGCTTGGTTACCACTTGGTCTCTTGGTTCCCTAAAGCACGAGCCTCACTGGGAGATTCTGATCATTTTTAAGGAAGGCTGTGTGTGAGAAAGTTGATGTTGAAGTAGAAGAGGCACTAGAAGCCTCTTGAGATTAAAACCTATATGACGTCGGGACACAAGAGGAAAAAAAACAAACTAAAAGGGCATTTGGGAATGATGCTCTTCTATTACTAAGTGTCTGAGACACGTGTCAGGTAAAGAAAGCCAAGGTAACAGACATTAACAAGGGTAGACCAGGTGCTTCTCTGAATCTTGGATCCTTTCTATGATGGGCATACAGAAAGTTTTAATGGAGAAAATTCACATTTGCATGGCAAGCTATCTTCTTTACAGAGTCTTGATGAATGATGCCAACATTGATATCTAGTCATGACTGTGTGTTAGAATCTTTGGGGAAAATTTCATTAAACAACAAGAAAAAACAAAATCCCAAGAACACTAACTGATTCTGGATGTTTCGGTAGAGACTGTTTTAATTAGCCTGGACTGGCAACAGTATTTTTAAAAATAGTCAAGGTACTGAGTACAGAGAGTGTTGGACACTAACTGCTGGGCTAGATTTGAGAGAGATAGAGATACAAATGGAAGGGAAAAGAAGGGGAGGTGACTGGAAGACCGGAGGAGGGGTGAGGGGATACAGGAGAGAGGAGAGGAGAGGGAAGGGGAGAGGAAGGGAGGGGAAGGGAGGGGAGGGGAGGGGAGGAGGGGGAGGAGGGGGAGGGGAAGGGAGGAGAGGAAAGGAGAGGGGAGAGGGGAGGGGAGGGGAGAGGGGAGGAGAGGGGAGGGGAGGGGAGGGGAGGGGAGGAGGGAAGGGGAACGGGAAAGAGGGGAGGCCAGGCGAGGAGAGGAGAGGAGAGGCGAGGAGAGGAGAGGCGAGGAGAGGAGACTAAGTCATATTCCATTCCCTTCTCTCCTCCTTAGAATTAGGCCTTGTTTCCAAAAGTGTGACATGACCATAGGTAATTCTTCAGACAGTACCTGATATCATACGGAAAAGCCTTCTCTGATATACATATAAATATACTTGATAAATATTAGAAATACAGAGGCAGCAAATCAAATTTGAAATTGTATGTATTTCTTGCTTAAGATGAGCTGAACAAAACAGTAACATGTAGTGAGTCAACTTGAGAGAACATTCTATAACCTTCAGTGGAGGAAGAACGAGAGACAGAGTAAGCAAACATTTCTCAAAGAGGTAGGCGAACACCTGGAATGTCAGTAACACACCTGGAATTTCAGTAACACAGAACTAAGTAGCATCAGAATCTACCAAACTTGCCTTCCTAGATTACTCTTGCATCCCGCTCCCCCACTGCAGAGCCCCTGCCCAAAGCGGCCCTCTCTGCTCCTCTCACGCACACGCCAGTGCCTAGTCCTAAGCATTTAGATGCTCTAGAACAGAGCTCAGATTCGACCGTTCTCCCCTGGGCTCGCGGTCACCATCCAACTACTGGGGTCCTAGACGACCCTTGTGTTTCTTCTTTCAGATTCAAATCTGACCTAAACTTAATGTAGGGGTTTTTGACTACCTTAGCAGAACAGGACAAAAATCAAAATCAAAACAAACCAAACAAGACCTGCAAGCCTTGCAGCCTCAAAAGCTTAACAGTGAAACACATGCGACCCAAATGCAGGTTACGCAAACGTAAAGGGAAGGCTGAGGGGAAAGAGGAAAAGCCCAAACTACACAAACAAAACCAGACTACAGAAAAGGCCTTCCCTCGCGAACATTTCACTCTGTATTTGCCATTCTCAGGCATGATGCAACCTTGGTTGCCCAATTGATATTTGCACATTTCTTCCTGTCCATAAAAGCTTCCAACGCCACAAAATTCTTTTTAAAAAGTTCAAGTTTGTAGACCACAAAGAAAAATCCAGGCGATCCTTCACCTGGACCAGAAGAAGTATGCCAAGGTGTGTGGGTTGGTGTAGGAAGAGTGCAGGCAAGGGAAAAGGCGCCAGGGCAGGCAGAGAAGTTCGTGACAGCCACGCTTCCATCTTTTCTCCACAGTTCCCACGCCCACTTGGTCAGGAACCCCCAAGGGCATCGCGCATACCTCACCTTTCTCCCGGGCCGGCCTCCTGTGCCCTGTTCATTCCCCAATCCAAAGGGCACTCACGATGGCAAGGGTGAGTAGTAGCGGAGAAACCAAGCCCAGTTTGTCAGCCCTCCTCCTCTTCCTGCTGTTCCCCGCCTTCGCTTTCCACGTTGTGGAAGACTCCCCATTCAGTCATCGGTTACACCTTTGCACCACCCAACAAAATGGCAGGTTGGCAACCGGCGAGGCCCAGATCGCTGGCTCCCGCTCTAGCCAAGCCGGCCCTAGGCCAAGCTCAAACACCACTTTTCTCTCAAAGTCCCCAATCGTCGGCCCCGCCCGATCGCCTACCCCTCTCCCCAGGCCGTTTCCACCGCCAGCGGAGGGGAACAGGTGCCCGAGTAACAGGTGCCAGGAAAACGGGCCCAGGCGCCCGCTCCAGGTATAGGGAGGACCGGGTAAAGAGAGGCGACCGAGAGTGAGTGCATAGGTGGAGAGTGGGGAGGCAGGGCTGGGACTGGGATGCCGCGCCGCCCGTCTTCCTCCTCTCCCCGGCGCGCGACCCTGACCGCACCTGCCCCACTTACAATCTCCAGGCAGACGAAAGCGCCCGAGTAGGTCCGCAGGATGGCGAGGCCGGAGGGCAGGTTGACCCGGGGGGCCGGGAACGACACCGCAGGGTTCGGGGGCGGCGGGACTGACCCTGCGGCCGACATGCTGCCGCTGCGCTGCTGCGTCTCCGCGCGCCGCCGCCGCCCGCTCCCGCCTCCGCCTCCCGGGCTGCCGCCGCTCGGGTCCGCGGGGTCCGGGAGCGCAGAGCGCGAGGGGCGTGCACCTCGGCGAGCCGGGCCCGCCCCGTCACGTGGACGCAGGTGAGCGCACCTCCGCCCGGGGCGGTCACGTGCACAGGTGCGGCGGCCGCCTGGCACCGTCCCTCCTGCCCTGCTCTCTTTGCCACTCCTCCGCGGTGTTCCCCAACACCCAGCCCGGCTGCCCTGCTGTTGACTTTTTACGGTCTCTCACTCTCAGTTTGCACCTGTTTTCCTCATCTGGCTCTCCGCCCTACTCCTGTCTCACAGCCCGCCGTGACCCGGAGTCCACAATTCGACTAGAGGACAGGTTTGGGGGCTGTGACTCAGGAGGTAAAATCGGAGTCCCAAGTTACACCTGACAAGAGAAGGACCCGTGTTCTGAGTGGGATCTCAGCGCCAACACCAACTGGCAGCAGGTGAACTTGGCCTAACTTACCATGTCGGGACGCGCACATGAAACGGCATAGCTAGCAAAGGGCAGGGATTCAGCACAGACTAAACGCTTCTCAAAGTGTAGCTGCGTAGCACAATCCTATGCTTTGGACACATGATGCTGCTTGGAAGGTTGTGGTTTCTACACACACAAAAGAATTTACTAGTTGTTTTCACTTATGAGAAGATAACTTCTTGCTGTTGCCCTTTGAAACATTTAAAAACATTGTAAAGTGTGTTTGAGAGACGGGAGAGGAACGCCCACCTGCTGGTGTGGCTCCCGGAATGCCTGCAACAGTGAGGGCAGGGAGCTAGGAGCCAGCAGCCAGAAACACCACCTGGGGTTCCTGCCATGGGGAGAAAGGCCCAATCACTTGAACTTGATCCCCAATGGTGAGAAGCTGGAATCGGAATTGAAGTTAGAACTGAACTCACCAAGCCACAAATGGCATGTAGCTGCCTCTGGCAAGGCCTTGCCCGCTGCCCGGAACACCTGACCCAAAACTTACATTGATTTTTTTTTTTTTTATGAAGCGTTCTGAGTATGATTTAGATCTCCTACTTTTAATGCCAACATTTTGTAAGTGAAACAGAGGAGAGGTGAATCATTTTCTCAAAGATCAGCGGAAGATGAACGAAGCTGCAGACACCAGCACACCCGGTGTCTAATTTTTAAAAAAAAAAAATGCTAGTGAGCACGCTGAATTTTCCAGTTGAATCTCATTCTTGTCTATCAGGTTTTGTCTTTGGGGAACTGTGGTTATTTGTATGCACTAGTCAGCAAGTTTAGTCACTCTATGTCTTTATTATTTTAATGACCGAAAATCACAGGTGTGGTGGTGGCATCAGGGTGAAAGCCGTGAAGCAGGGTGTGGGTGAAACCTGCATGTACAACTGCTATCAGTTCTCACTCTTAGTCATTTCTTTCTGCAATTTGATGTCTGGCCTCTATTTAATGGAAAATTTGAAGTTTTTATACCTTGATTTGTTCGATCAGTGAGCCCTTTCTTTGTGTTCATTCCCTGATTGATAGGCAATGGCCATTCTGTTATTTACAAAAATAATAAGCTCTAGTGAATGAGCTAGAAATAACCTTGGAGTTCTCAGAAGTACTTAACAATTCAGAAGAACTCAAATGAACTTATTTTTAAAATCCCCACCAGTATGTGCCCTCCAACACCACTTAACTGTATTCCATGTATCCTCTGCCATTCCTGTTTATATCTCTTTTGATTCCATCAAGACTAGGAGAATAACAGATTGTTCCAAACCACCCACTTTCTTGTATTGTAACCTTATTTGGTTGAAAACGAATTCTTTCTAGAATGGTTTTTCCTAATGATGATCACTAACAACACCCGTTTCCTTGTAATGTTAGCTGTTTCCTTTTCATGCTGGCCATATTTCTGGAGTATTCTGGGAGACAAGCACTCATCCCAACTGGCTGTCTCCCGCATGAAATTGCCCATGAGCCCTTCACAGTTTTATTTTTCCGCTGTTTGCTCACCTTGTTGCTAGGGTTCCTGCTCTCCAGCATGACTTACCCTGCCCCGGACTTCCGTTGCGTCCCGTTTATTCAGAAGCCAATGTTCATGTTTATGACTTTGATCAATCATACCTTACAACCAGTTCCTATCTCCAGTGTACTCTTTTATCACGTGGGCCTTTCTTCTTGAAACACTGCACTCTAACTGATTACTATCACCTGCTTGTATATCTCCATTCCAAGGCGATTGACTTTCACTTGGTCTTGTTCGCTTGCTTTATTTATTTATTTTGGAAGGTCAGATTTACAGAGAGGAGAGACAGAGGGAAAGATCTTCCATCCACTGATTCACTCCCCAAGTGGCCTCAATGGCCAGAGCTGAGCTGATCTGAAGCCAGGAACTTCTTCTCATCTCCCACATGGGTGCAAGGTCCCGAGGTTTTGAACCATCCTCTACTGCTTTCTCAGACCATAAGCAAAACACTAGAAGGTAAGTGGAGCAGATGGAACATGAACTGGAGCCTGTATGAGTGCTGGCTCATGCAAGGCAGAGATTCAGTCACTAGATTATTGCTCTGGGCCCATGTCTGCTTTATTTTTAACTGGATCCTAATCCTGGTTTTTCTTATGTGATCTTGGTTTATAGGGAGACATTTTAGAGATCTTGTTTCAGTTCTATCTGTTGCAGCCTGTCTTTCAACTTATGGATAACTTTGCCTTTGCTGTCCTGTATTCTTTAAGTTGGATTCCACTTTCATCTACATCTGTCCCCTAATTCTACTATGGTGCTGCTCAGAGTGGCTAAAAGAATGTAATGGCCAAGACTGTTGATTTACTTCTGATTCATGTCATCTAAACTTCTAGGGACCTTAGGTTTCACCGCTCTAATTCCACTGTCCTCTTTCTCTCAGTTATCATTCCAAAGTTTCTTTCACTTGCCCCATCTTTCTACTTTACACAAGTGGATAGCAAGTCCAATGCATGAAAGCATGTATACACCATTGCAACTTTCCCTACTTCGTCTTATTGTACAAGGGATTACAACATATCTAACCAGCAATACTTGTTTCATTGAAAACATTGCCATCAATCCAGCCACTAAGATAAGATAAATACCACATTTTCTCCGAGTGCCTCCTTATCAAGCTACACATTGAACTGGCTACAAGGAGCTGGCAGTTTTAACATCTTACTCTGTAAAATATCCACTTCTTTTTGTTCTTACTCTATTATAGGGCACTATCCTCAAAAGTAAGAAGCTGGCTACCTTTTCATTCTCCCTTGTATGCTGTCATCTTAATGGCTTCATAAAAAACACACACACACTTTTGCTTAAAACCTCTCCTGGAGTCCTTGCTTCCCCTAGGATCAATTCCAAACACCCCACAATGCGTTTGATGTATTCCTGGGTTATGATTTACAAGGAGTTTTTCTACTCTACCCCAACCTTGCTGATCTACCCACAGGTCCAATAACTCTCTTGTCTCCAAACTTCACATGTTTTTCTCTCTCTAGTTGAATATCTTATTTCCTTAAAATCATATACTTGTGTTATTTATTTGCAAGGAAGAGAGAAAGAGAGAGGGGGAGAAAGAGAGAGAGAAACACATGCATGCGTACACACACATAGAGAAATCTACCAGCTACTTGTTCCCAAATGCTCACAATAGCTTGGAAGGCTAGAGCAAATTCGATCTGAAGGACTAGAACTCAAGCTGGGTCTTCCATGTGGGACCCAGCAATCTAATTCATTGAGACATCACCTGTTGCTTCCCAAGGTGTACATTAGCAGAAAGGAGTTGATAGTTGGGGTAGGACTTGAACCTTGGAACTGAGGTACTGGATGTGGGCAACCTAAATGGTTTCTTAAATGTTAGGTCACATCTATATTCTGTCTCTTCATCTTACTACTCTCATTTCCCATGTATATGTTTCCTGTATAATGCCTTTGGATTATAGGGATGGTAATCTCTGGTAGTCTTTCTCTCTCCATTTAACATTATATTAGGACCCACTATCAGCCAGTCTATTTCTTTTTTTTTTTTTTAAGATTTATTTTTATTATTTTTTTATTGGAAAGGCAGATATACAGAGAGGAGACACAGAGAGGAAGATCTTCCGTCCGATGATTCACTCCCCAAGTGAGCGCAACGGGCCGATACCATGCCGATCCGAAGCCAGGAGCCTCCTCCGGGTCTCCCAAGCGGGTGCAGGGTCCCAAAGCCCTGGGCCGTCCTTGACTGCTTTCCCAGGCCACAGGCAGGGAGCTGGAAGGGAAGCGGGGCTGCCGGGATTAGAACCGGCGCCCATATGGGATCCCGGGCATGCAAGGCGAGGACCTTAACCACTTGCGCCACCGCGCCGGGCCCGAGCCAGTCTATTTCTATAACCTGCTGTGAGTATTCCACATTGAGCAACTGTTGAATTGAAGCGATACTTTTCCTTGTCTCATACTTCTTAAGTAGTGTTATATAACAGGATATTAAATTTAAAATTTCAGTGGAAGATCCAAGAGATGAGAGATATCAGATATCAATGTGAGCCGTGAATCAGACTCCTTGTTTTAATGTGGGTTTACAGAGAACGCACTAGACTATCTATGAATTTATTAGAATATCCCACTTCTATCATGGCTGTGAAATGGCCGGGAATGGGATTTGAAGAGAGGATTTTTAAAGATGGAATAGCTGGACTGGAAACCCTATTTCTCTTTACACCTGCTATATCCCCCTTCCCTCTGCAGGAGAAAACGAGCAAGGTTCAGATTACATAATAGCAGCTCAAGTAATATCAGCTAGCCAAATGAACTCTGCGTCTGAATTTCTCTGCTTCATCATAATTACTTTTATTGTTCTTCCTGTTTCATAAGATGTATTTCTTACCACATACCAAAGATAGCCCCATCTCAGCTTTTAATTATTTTACCTTTATTATTCATTTAGAAATTTAATCCATGACTTTTCCCTTCTCTTGCTTCAGGTTTCTTTT